AGATTTTAACAACTCTGAGCTATTAGTTAAGTTCTCCCCAAGCGAGCTCGATGGGCCGAATGGCCTCCTCTCGTTTGTATAGTTCTTATGTTCTTATGTTCTTATGACAGTAATTTGTGCCAAACTGGAGGATACAGCCACACTTTATATATGTAATTTGCAATGCTGAAAGTTGTTAGTGTTTTTTAGCCCAATGAACATTGAGTGCCCCAGTAGTGTTGTTGGCTGACAGCATTTGTCATGGTTATGGCAGCATGAATCACTTTTGGGTGAATTGTGAAACGTTTTGGTGGTTGTAGGGCATTTTGCACCAAAGGTTAAGCGGTGTGCTCAGTTGTGTATTGGTACAGCCCACTGTGTTAAGTGTTTTGAAAAAGTGGACATGGTATTGAGACAAGTGTGAAAATGATTGGAAAAAACTGTAAAAAACTGACCTATGCATGTGTGTCATTCCAAGAGTTAAGTCATCATTCAGCATATTACAGTTTTCACACATGGCTTATAAAGAAACGTTATTTGAATATGGTTGCTGATTGTGTCCTTCACATATGAAAGTACGGAACACACAATTCTCCAAATCACTCCATATTGATTCGATTATATATATATTGGATTCAGGAGCTGCCTCCTTCTAAGGTTGCATTTGAAGACTGAATATGTCACAGCGGTGCAACAAGGCTGCCTCATTTCAAAGGCTCCATCAAATGCAGTCAGAGATGCGTCCTTCTTCTCCCGCTCCGCAAAGGATGCGCCTGATGGGTCCTTCACAGCGGTTGGGAGTAGTGAGCCAAAGCCACCATGCAGCTAGGCATGCACACACCACACATATGCGGAGGGACACTGAAGGCAGCACAGCTACAGACTGTCTAATATTTGAAAGACTTTGACCAATGCAAGGATGAGCAAAAAGTTCTGTTCTTTTAGATTTGAAAACTGGTTCGACCAGTTCACTGAAAAGAACTGGTTCAAAAGAATAATTCATTCACAAATCGGACATCACTGTCATTCACTTATTTTTGGATGCAAATAGTGTTTCTTACTAAGACCATATTCCATTGTAGTTCCTGGAGTGCTTTTCTCTCCCACTGTCATTAAAGTTCATGTGTGTGTAAAGGCAGCTGTCCCAATACTTTTGGCAATAACTTTTGGCAATATAGTGTGTGTGTGTGTGTGTGTGTGGCACGTCTAGTCACCAGACACAGAGGATGCCTTGTAGACGTATTAGACAGCATTACCAGCACTTGACAGGGTCACATTGTGGGTTTGCATGAGGCTGGGTGGTCGTATGGTGCATTTACCCTGCATGTGGGGCATGCAGATGTCACAGTCAACCGATGTTGGAACCAATGGCCACATGAGGGCGCTCACATACATCGTGATGGTTCCAGTCACCCAAGACAGACCACACCAAGGAAGGATTATCGTATTGTGTGGCAAGCATTACAGAACCCCATGACATCTGCGCCTGCCAACCGGACACAGGTATTGGACTCTCTACAACACCCCCACCGTGTCTCCACGACTGGCATCAGCAGGACTAAGGGTTCACTGTCCCATGTGTAGGCTGCCGTTAACACCAGCACAGAGATGACTGCGTTTGGAGTGGTGCCATAACTGGGAAGTATGAACTGATGACAAGTGGACCGGAGCCTATCCCGGGAAAAAGGGGCACAGGCGGGAACCAACCGTGGGCAGTCGCCAACACATCGCAGGGTGCATACACACACAAAATTACAGGGCCAATTTGGACATGCCAATCAACCTGCCCTGGACACTTTTAGACCATGGCAGGAAACTGGAGCCCCCACTGGAAACCCACGCGAACATGGGGAGAGCGTGCAAAGTACACACAGAAAGGACCTACGTCCGACCCTGGGATCGAACCCAGGACCTTCTTTCTATAAGGCAGCAGCACTAGCCACTGCACGACTGTGCCATATGTTTTAAATCTATCGTAATTAGTATCGTGATTAGATATTTTCCCCAAATAATTCAGCCCTAGTGACAGGCCTACACCTGTCATTCAAATCACACTGCAAGCTAATTGCATTCCCAAGCGTTCAGTTGTAATGGAATCAAATACAGTTGCATTGAAAGAAGCTAAATCAAAACTAGCAGGCCTTGCCAGAACTAATGACTTTATTAGTAATGTATATCGACAGCTTGGAGTAGGAGGAGGAAGCTGAGGGTATGAGGTGTGATTATTCTCCCTCACTGTAGTAAAGGCCCTTTGTTACTCACCGCAGTTTCTTCATGATAAAGAATCCAGCTGGAAAAAGCCCCAGAGCCAGTAAAATACCGATGACAATCCCAGCAATCGCTCCACCAGACAGGCCATTGTGGACACCTCCCTCTGCAGGAATAAAGAGCTCAACTAAACATTAATTCAGGATCAGTATCCAATGCAAACTTTGGTTTATTACCAAGGGAAGGAAAAGTATGAGTTACATAAAGCAACATCTTTTCTGACAGGTCAGAATAACAATAACAAAGATATATACATAGTTCTCACGGTTCAGCTGTAAACGCATATTGATAACAAACTACCTTTAAATTTATTACTGCTATGACTGAAAAGAAATTACAGTTATAAACAACATTTGTCCAAATGTACAGATAAGACCAGCAATATAGAATAATGGTGACAACGGTCACAGAAAAAAGGGACAACCTGTAGGCCAAGTCCTGAATGATTATTGCAAATCAGAATACGGATTATTTTAATCACAGTCAGGACCTGCTTTCTTTGTAAAACTGACTGAAAAATCAGTCAAAAACAAACATGCAGTGACACAATATGTCCTGCGTATTTTACAGGTGGCAGAAATATTCTGTTTGGTCTTGTTGTGTTCATGCAATGAAATTATTGGTGTTTACTATTACCCCTAAAAATGTATCCTCACAAAAAATAAAAAAGAAAAATTAAATTCATTAAGGCACCTATGGATTTTACAAGGAATGATTAAATTGTTACTTACTCAAAATAAAAAGCAGACCTAGCTGGTAACTATTATACCTAAATATCAATACATCAAACAAGTACCTGGGTTTCCTAGCTAGTGGTACAGTACCTAAAGTCAGTAGCAGTCACCTCTAAATTAAAAAAAAATAAAAAATTGAAATCTATATGCAAAAACCTTACTATATATTATTTAATATTCCCCTTTCTAACAAACCCTACTTGTGGAAATGAAGAGAAAAGACCAGTAAAATAAAATACCGCAAATTACAGAGGAAAGGGAGAACCTATAGACCAAACCTGGAAAGATCATTGAACACCAGACCTAATTCAACCAGTAGCTGACATCTCTCTCACTTACCCAGAACAGTGATCACTGAACGTTCAGATGAATGATACTGTTGGGTTATGGTGTTATGAGCCCAGCAGGTATAATTACCACTCTGACTCTCCTTAATATTTGTCAGCAGGAGTTGATCGCCCATTTCGTTCAGCAGTGTGTCATTAAGAGCTCATTGAAACTGTGCAGGAGGTCTGGACTGAGCTGAGCAGGACAGGGTGAGGCTGGTTCCTGAGGTGAATATGGGCCCTGGAGGACTCACAGCTACTGCAACGGTATCGGGTCCAACTAAAACACATGTATTAAACAACACAAAGTACAAACTCAGCTACAAAATTTTGGGGATACTGTATTAAGATCTATCTGCACTAGTGATCAAGCAGGCAAATTAATGCAAATATGGGTTGGGAGGTAGGTAGTAAGACTATACTGCACTCTTAGAAATGATGTGTTGGAAATTAACACAAATCATGTGTAATGGGATGTTTTGCACATTTTGTGTTAATGTAGACACATGTTGTGTAAAAAACTTGACTTAAATTTTAACACAATATTAGTGTCAACAGCAACCATGATATATAAAGTAGTTATTTAATGGTTTGTTAAAAAAACAACACAGCTTCAAGGTTTCACGTTATCCCCACTTTCCAGTTGTGTTTTCAGTCGACAGTTTTTAAAAACCTACTTGTTTTTTATAATCTAGGCACTTTAACTGAGGTGCAGATATGCATTCGCGCCTTTGAGGGATTTTGTGCTCTTGGGCTGTCGAACAATTGAAAAAGACTTGTCAAGGATATCGGGTGAGTGGAATTCAGTTTAAGTGTATATTTGTTATAGTTTTATTTAAAGTCGTGTTGATTATTACCAAACTCATTGGTAAACAGAAATCTTGACTTTTTCAGCGTTTTAACTCTAACGGTAAATTAGTTAGATACCGATTGTTAGCGGTAGCTTAACGTTACCGGTAATGTGCAGGCAGTGTTGGGGAAGCTACTCTGAAACTGTAGTTTGACAAGCTACAAGCTACTCGTAAGTTAAAGTAGTTAAACTACAGTCAAGCTACCCTTTTGGAAAAGTAGTTAGCTACACTACAAGTTACTATCAAAAAGTAGCTAGCTTTTGATTTTTTTGAACAACGTATATTATAAATAACTAAATAAGTGTCTGAGGAATGTTTTAAGTAAAATATTTAGTGTTTAAAACAATGCAATACAATTATGATTTCAAAGAGTATTGTTTTATTACACACAACACTCAAATATCTCAGACTGTTTGTCAAAAGTGCAAAATTGCAACAAATACAACATTGCAAGAACAAAATATACATCCAACGTAAAATGCATGTAGAACATTTTCTCAAAAATACCGATTGTGAGATGGTTGCATTTTGGCAAGAAAATACATTGAACAACCGCTCACATGTGGCACTGGCAGGGAAAGAACTATCTGGTGTAGTTGCAGTAGACTGAAACCTCATCCAAAACATTAACCTCCAAAGGGTCAAAATGTTATAATTTGTAATGTTACAAAAGCCTCAACTGAAGAGTAAGAACGCTTGGAAAATGTTAAGTATTTTAGTTGAACTGGCATAGTTAGTCCCTGTTATTGTTATACCACTCAAGCAAAACAGGAATGGTTTCACACCATCAGTCGAGAATTGAGGTGCAGTGTCCTTCTAATAAGAGCAGGCAATAACAAAATGTATAGGAAACTCAATTTGTTCTCTTAACTAAACTGAAGCAGAAGTGCCTGACCTGTTAATTCGACACAAGAGAAGTTTCTCAAAATGACTGTCGGAAAGACGGTTGCGTTTTGCCACTTCTGTACATCAGTGAACCGTTAGCCGCAAGATGCGTGATTAAACAACAGGTGGCGGTAATGGCAAAAAATGAGTTTGTAATCTAAGAAGAAGAATATCCTTGCATCGCGCTGATTCGCGCAGCTACACCGCTACTTGCTGCAAAAAGTAGTTAGCTACTGGAAAAGCTACACTGTTTAAAAAGCAACTGAGCTACTGCCAAGCTACTGAAAAATCTAGTTAAGTTAGTAGCGTCACTACTTGTAGTTAACTACTCCCCAACACTGTGTGCAGGTATTAAGTTAATTAATGTTAGCTAAGGCATATAGTTTAACCGACATGGATTTTTGTTTAAAATAAGACGTGTTCCCAGTTGTATTTGATATTGTAGAAGCAGAATATACCTTTTCGTGGTAAATTGTATAGGTTAGCCTTAGTTTGAATTAAGGTAACGTAACTATCCACGTAGCTATTTTTATAAGTTTACCAGATGTCCTTTTATGTTATGTCCTTATGTTGTAATTTAAGTTTTGTATTGGCAAATGTAAAATAAGTCATGTCTACTAATAAGCGTTCGGTATCATGAAGCAGATTTTCCAGAATTGGTTCCATGACATCCTTTTATGTACTTGTGTGTTGAATAATATAAGGTCCTTAAGGTTAATTTGTCAGTGCATTTGACGTGTTTTTACATATTAAAAAGATTATATTAATTTAAATTACTCCTATTTTTCATGTTCATTACTTGCAGTATAGTTTGATACATAACCATTACATGAGATACATGCTAACTTATTTTGTGATTCTCCTCCTTGTTTGTGTGTATTTTTTAAGTTTAATTAATGCTGATGGAGGTTTTGACTGAAGATACGCCATTAACACCACAGCACAAAGTACTTGCAATAGTTTACACAGATGGAAAGGAAGCATGGAGAAAAACTTCTAAAGTAGGAAGTATCCTGGAATTGATTAGCACCACCAAAAGTCAGCTGACTAGTCTTGTAGAGTTAGACAGAATTTTAAGATTCGATGCAGATTTTGAGGATTTTATTGATGTTGATCATACTGATGGAGTGCGGGAGCTGGACAAGTTCAAGTTATACTTCATCCATGTTAATAACCAAAATTTTCAAGAAGCAAGCAGACAATCAGAGCAGGTATAATGCATCTTTTGTTCTTTTGAATAAAAAAATAGAATAAAAGAATAGGCCTTTGCATGTGAAATAAGCTTGCATTCAATGTTGTGGCCCAAGCCTTGTCATTGTTTTTTTCTCTGTCTTTTAGAGGATGTAAGTGTGTTTGAACTGATACAAAATATACTTTGTCGATAAAATTTAATCTAAATGTTGTGTATGTTTTTCCATTTCAGAACGATTCCTCCAGTGTAGCAGAGATTGGCGTCACTCATGGCCTGCTTACACTGCTTGAACAGAAAGCACCCATCGTCTTAAGAGAGCATGAAGAGACAAAGACACTTTCGATTTCATCAAGAAAACTGCTTGTTAAAATCTGTGTCAGTAATTTGGTGGAGAGTCATGGCTTGTAAGTTTTTGTTTAATGTGTACAGTTTATTTCTGTCAGTGATGAACATACTACAGGTACCACACATCTTGTTAGGACAACTGTTCAGAGAAAACTATGATTCATTAATTACTTAATTTCAATTAATTCTTATATAAAGTTAAATATTTGTTTCTATTGGTTGCAAGGGAGAAACATGAGCAGGTAAAATTGCACAATACAAATGGGACTGTTTGTATCATCACTAAAGATGTGCTTCAACTACAATAAATATATCACTAAAAAAGTGTTTTTATGCTGTCACTTTAGTTATCCATCTGTGGCCCAAAAGCTAACACTTGCAAAGGAAGTAGTGTCACTGTTTCCTTCACTAAAGATTCACGTCCCATTTGGTGAAAACGAAGGACACGTAAGCCTTTCATGCTATGCTTTTTTATGGACAATTTTTGAAGTTAACACTATTAACTTGTTTATATATGTTTTTTTCTTTTTTACCTCAATGTTGGAAGACAGCTTATTACACATCATCTGTTCATTTATTGTTTCCATATTATTACCAGGAGCATTTTTTTGATCAGTCGTCACACAGTGGGTTTATAGAAATGAGACTAAGGAACCTCAGACGCAAGCTTCAGCAGAACCAACGCACCTACAATTTGAAACGCTGTCATTCTACTGAAATGCCTTCTGTGGAAAGTGCAAATGAAGCAGAGCCAAGTGAATGGCTAACCCTGATCAAGAGGATGTGGCCATCATCCGAAAATGCAGCCTCAATAAAAGCTGCAGTTGACAAAACCTTCAATTACAGAAGAAAATGGATTGCAACAAAATCACCTTCTGTATCTGACATCTTGCGTGAATTCCCAAGATTTCTGGACATGCCAACACTGGTAACAAATTTTATCATTACATGTGGTAATTTTTAAAAATTCCATGTTACGCCTCTTTGCATGTTTTATTTATCTAGGACAATGGTAAGTCTTTGTTTAATCTATAGGTAAGCAAGCTCAATAGTGGTTCAATATCAAAGTAAATGTTTCCTTTTCTTAAAGATAAGGCCATTTAATATTCAAGACATTTCAAGAAATCAAGAATTCAATTAATTTTGCAATGAATTGTCATTGGCAGTTAACTTTAGGCAAATGTTTACACAGAGTTTGTGTATTAATGTATTCATTTGGTTATTGATTGTTTTTACTCAAGGTTGATTCTGAGTTTTCCAAAATTACTGATGGGAAAGAAGACTTGTTCATCAGGCGATGGGAAGGGACCATTATTCCGAAACTGCCTCCTTTGAGAAGACACATGACATCAGACATCTCTGAAATGAGGCCAAAAATCAATGTGATGGTATGTGTGTGTCTGTGTATATATAGGAATTTGGATTTTATATTATTTAATCTGAACAAATGTGACGTGTGTTTCTTAGTCCTGCACCTGTAGTACCACTGCCCTACTTATTTTAGACTTAATTTCCTTTACACGCACACACACACGTATATATGTGTGTGTATGTATGTATGTGTGTGTGTGTGTGTGTGTGTGTGTGTGTATATATATATATATATATGTATGTACTGTATGAGGTTTGTGGGGATCGTACATTCATTTCCATGCAGAAAAACCCTAATCCCAGCAGTGACAACTTTAACCCCTATCCAGCCCTAACCTTAACTGTAAGTAACCAAACAAGACACAAAACTTTTGACATTTTTTATTTTTGGACCAGTAAGATGATTATGCATGACGGTGGTGTGTTTCTGTTGCTTGCCTGATAGAGCATGGCGCTAGAAACACCAAGGTCATTTGTTCAATTCTGAGGAAGCACAAGTAATGATCAAAAGTATATCTACAATGTCTTTGTATAAGTTGCTCTGGGTATGAGCGTCTTCCAAATGCTGTAAATGTACTCAGAACAGGATTTTGAAACACAATTTTATACAAATACCAAAATATAGACAAGTTATAACTAGATCATTTGTAATTTAGTCTTGAATGCTAATTTCTGGTTTTAAAATCATTTCTGTCATTTTATAATTCGCTGAATTTATACTGTATTTTTTCTCCAAGATGAGCTGTGCTACAGTACATAATGTTGAAGATCCTAACTCATCTTCTACCACCAACGGCATCTGGGAGAAATGCGGCAGGAGGTAGATGCTCTGTGAATTAGGTTGTCTCTTACTTGGTGGAGTTTGTGCCGGTATGTTATGGTTCCGTTCTCCTTTGTGAAAAATGTTTAACAATAGTGAAAAGACTTCCTTTTTTTGCATTTAACATGGGACCACCAATCCTATACATTGAGGTATGCTAGGGTTTTGTAGGCAAAACATGTTTTTTTGTGATATATGTACAATATTGCTACCTCAGATAGAGAAGTAACATTATTTCATTCTGTGTTATTCTTTTAGACTAATACCAACCTAGCAACTCTGAGGAGTGGATCCACTGAAACACTGAAATCAGTTCAGCCGCAGCTAGTTTGCATTGGACCACTAAGACAAGGAGCTCAGTATGTAATTGTGGCAAAAAATGACTGTGTTGTTGTTCCACTAGATATTGAAAACCTGTCTTGTGCTGTGGACAAACTGTTCAAATTTTACTGGATGTGTAACCTTAAGTATCCCTGTCAACTAGCATCAGTTTTTTCTTTTTTTGAGTATGTTTATGACCTGCCTTTGTCTGCAAACTCTAGTAGGCGATCAAAAGTTATGGAGTTAATTGCCAAAATACAATCTCTGGCCTAAATTAGTAAAAGCATGTATACATGTCCCCAGTGTTCCCAAAAGGTTTCTTTGGAAATCAGAAAGTTGATATGGCATTTGCGTGAAGTCCATGCACTTTCAGATAGTCAAAATCTAAATATTACCTGTAGTCAAGATGGTTGTCCCAGGACTTACCACAGTTTTAATTCATTTTCAAAACACCTTAGCAGAGCTCACACTGTAATTAAACCATGTTCATCAAAAGAATCAGCACAGTCTGTAGGCCTTCATTTGTCTAGTCATATTGAAGAATTTAACTTGGGAGATGAGGTTCAAACAACAGAAACATCTCAAAAATCTCCCAAGAATTTGAGCTTAATGGATTGTGCTGCCAGTTTTGCTGCTCGTATGTATGCTTCTGCTAATGTAACTTTTACAGATGTACAAAGAAGTATAACATGTACAAAAGAAGTTCTGGATAAAGCATTAGACAATTTACAAGAAAAAACTAATGCATTGTTGAGCAGCTTAGCAGTTCCCCTGGATAATAGTGAAGTTCAAGGTCTAATGAAAGATTTTGACAACACCAGAAATATGTTTAACGAAATTGATACTCCATTTAAATTAACAAAGTACTTTTCTGAAAATTTTTTATTTGAGAAGCCCACAGAAGTGTTTCTTGGCCATAGAGCTGATACTTTTAGAAAAAGTGGAGAAATAAGACAGGTGTTGGTAGCAGACACTTTTCAATATATCTCAGTAATTAACACCATCAAGTTTCTGTTTAGTTGTGACAAAATGCAGAGTATTTATATGCAGTCCTCTGTGAGACCTGGTAAACTGCAGGATTATTGCGATGGCACTCACTATGCTAGACACCCACTTTATCAGAAGTACCCTGATGCATTACAGCTTCAACTCTACTACGATGATTTCGAAACAACAAACCCTCTAGGATCAAAAACAAAAATTCACAAAATGGGGGCAGTTTATTTTGCAATTAGAAATCTGTCACCAGAGTTTAACTCATTACTTTCTAACCTTCATTTGTGTGTTCTGTTTAATTCTGTTGACAGAGACACATATGGTTTCGAGAGAATTATGGAACCATTAATAGTAGACATTAAGAAACTTGAGTGTAGTGGTGTTCAGGTTGAAATGAATAAGGAAAGTCACATAATTTATGGAACTGTACTGTATGCCTGTTAACAGCAGATAACCTTGCTTGTCACTCACTTTGTGGATATGTTGAGAGTTTTTCTGCCAACAAGTTTTGTCAGTTTTGTTTGATAGACAAAGCAAGTTCACAATATATTTTTGA